TTTTTTTTTTTTTTTTTTTTTTTTTTTTTTTGTTGAAACAGCTTCAGTACAAATATTGTAGGTGCATGAGGCTGCAACACAGTCGAATGCTATGGACTTCATCACAGAAATGCCAGAAGGTTTCAAAACAATAATTGGTGAGCAAGGATCTACCGGTCTGAGTGGAGGTCAGAAGCAACGTATCGCAATCGCGAGAGCTCTTGTCACTGTTAGTTGTATTTATAGTTTTTTGTAAATCAGTTATATTCTTTATCGTCAGCAATTGTATAACAGTAGAAAACAAATTATTTGTAATTCGCGTCTGCATCTCTAATTTTGAAGTCATAATGGTGGTTTTTGTGACTCCCACTTGTAATAAGCTTTTGCTGAAGAGTTTCTTGCTCTAGAAGCCGTGCATGCTTATACTGGATGAAGCAACAAGCGCATTAGATGCTACAAGCGAGTATTTAGTACGGGTAGCTCTAAATGAACTTTTGGTAAATAGTCGACAGACCGTAGTAATCATTGCACACCGGTGAGTTTTTTGCTGTGGCATTAAATGTTTTGTAAGTTATGTTTCTTCTAGAAAATTTTGCTGCAAAAGTTCTTTATTTGCTATTTAGGTTATCAACTATAAAGTATGCGGACCAAATTATTGTTTTGGATAAAGGAATTGTTGCTGAGTCTGGAACGTTTGATGATTTGATGAGGCGCGAGCGTGGAACCTTCAGAAAGCTTGTTGAAAAGCAGGCTATTGATTGGCACAACGGAACATGATATTTCTAGCAAATAATAAGTAACTAGTTTGAACTTACAATTGGATTCGGTAAAGCGAGTAGTTGCTCAACGCTTAAGAGACTTTTTCATCGTAATATGCGATTTTCAGGTGACGAGTGTTTTGAGCAAGTATTTTGTAAAAAATAGTCTTATCATCTCTTCCCCTCTGTAACTGTTTGAAAAGCCAGTTTTCTTTACGCGCTTTCACTTCTGTTCCTCTTAGTTAGCTTCCTTCTGAAACAGTTAAATATAATCCTCATTAATTCACTGTAGTGTGCTGTCTCTACTTGAGTTATTTGTTTTTCTTGAGCTTCTCCTTCCGTCACTACCATTTTTCATTGCATTTGTGATCTTCACTAAGGGTTTAGCCAAAGTATTCGTGAAATTTAGTGCTTTACAGTAATATGTTATGATGTTGTTTTCTTAAAAAATGCTTTTTATGAAGCTACTCTTTGGTCTTCTTCTAATGGGGTTCCCTAAAAGTAGCTTGGTTATTCTTTTATACGGCCATATTGTTTGGACTTGTTAATGGTCTGCTGTGATCCTTAGGGAGTTGCATGAAAAGAAAAATATTTATTCAGCTTCAGTTAAATAAGCGAAATGACATCGTTTGAGATCTGTTTTTAAACCGTCTTTTTGTTTGCAAATGTACTTGTTCCTTAGTATTGTTATGTTGCTTAAAAATGCGTAATGCATTTTCCGTACGCGACATCTCGTGCTGGTCGTCACTAATATAAAATTTTTTACTCTTCATTTCCTTTAGCGGTTTATCTTAAAATTAGTGGTTCTGAGCAGAGTGTGTGTACTTAACATTACTTGATTCTCAGATGTGCAAGGGTCAGGAAAACGAGTCGTGGTGTTAAATGTTACGCCAAGACCTGAAGTATTTGATGTCTTGCGGTTTTCGATAATATGCTGCAGTTTGGTGTAGGTTAGATGACGGAGTCAGTTTGTCCATGGTTCTCAAGTTCTTGATGGCTTATCCTGACGTCCCTGTGGCTCCAGCATGCTTCTTTTACAGCGCGCAGCTTCTGCTGCTATTTCTTGGCATCGCCTTATAGATAATAAATATTCAACGTGTGCAGTGTTGAAAGCGAGGTTTCACGAATGGTGTTTAAATGCAGGAAAGATATTTTAAGGAGGTTCTCAAACTTCCGTATCGGTTCACTGTTTGTTGAAAGAATTAGTTTAGGGAAAACTGCACTATTAGCGCTATTAGAAAGCAGCCTTTTAGTGGCTAACTGATATGTCGCATGCAAAGGCAGTTGCGAAAATGAATAGCGGTTTCCAATTTCTGTTGGTTAAGGCACCCTATCTCAAAACCCCTTTGTAGTTTGGGGTCTGGAAAGGTGTGAAGACAATCAGTGGGAGTTCAAAACCGAATGGGATTCGGAATATGGTGGCCTTCCAGATAATTGAAGATTCTTGCATAACGTGCAGGTTATTTGAAACCGTAAATCAAAAGGTGAGGAGATTGCAGTCGTCCTAGTTATTTTTTTTCTCAGTTCTTGCTCGTCCTTATTCTCTGCGTATGATACTGTGCCAATGAAGCTTATTATAAGAGGTAAGCAATTTGTAAAGAAAAGCGGGCAAAGACGCTTTACTACTGACCGGTTGTTAGGCTTCTAATCATAGTAATTTTTCGCTCTTGTTGAATGATTCACAGAGGAAATGGCAGACCCCAGCGAAAACGTTTGGTTCGGCAACTGGAGGTAATATTGGCTTTGGAAAAGGTGTAGACCACTCAAAACTGTTCGTACTTTTTCAGACAGATTTAGCAATATCTGCATGCTTATGCGAAGTGTCTTGCAGGAAGGGCTTTTGGCTCTGAAATTTCATTCGTTGAAGCAGTCAGCTGCACTCCGGACGCACCTGTAAAGATAAAAAAGTGCCCTTGTCCATTAGTTCTTAGGGGATTTCAGCGCCGTTGCGATCAGTTCTTTTTGTCACCAACCTATCTCTACTTTTTCGGTTGCAGGGCTCTTGACCAGACGTGATTCACTGTAATAGTTTCAGGCTTGTATATGCACTTCCAGCTGATTTCCTTTTGCTCCACTGTCCTAATTCCCCTTTAATTGCTGTGGCATTCCACAACGCCTGCTTGTTGGCAGCACGTGATATAATGGATAGCGGGGGGGATTTTTTCACCGCAATTGTGGGAGCCTGGAGGATTTAAGTTCATCGGATATGCAACCCATCTATGCACTGCTTTCAAATTTTTTAACTCTTTCTGGTTTGTCCAAGGTACCTGCGTAACTAGCGCGTTTTATAAAACTTACTCATCCATTGTATGAGGTGGTGAAATAAGTTGTTGAAGACGTTTTTCCAAAACATGCGCTCGGGCATATTCGTTTCAAAAACATATTCAGTTGTTCTCTTCATAATTTCATATTGCTTCTCACTTGACCATTCTAACCCTCTGCATTATTTGCAAATTATCTGTTTCCTACTTTTATTATGGTATCAGCAGGTCCATCCAACCCTGCATGACAAGTCGTGCATGATTGAAGAAAACTTCAAATAAAAAAAAAATTAAGCTGGCTATTCGTAAAAAAGCAAGTTTGGCGATGGGCAAACTTGATTTTAATACCGCTAACGGTTTGACCAAAGTATCCTGACAACAGCCCGGCTAGTTTGGAAAATGCAAACTGCTGCACGACGTGTCAACGGTGAAAATTTGTGTTGGAATTCGGCAGTTTCACTTGAAGTGACCACAGGAATCAGTAATACATACCTTTATGGTATAAGAAATTTATTAGCTGATTTTGCAATCACAAAATTTCGGCGGAACAATTTAAGATTTCATTAATCAGTCATTAAACACTTAATGAGTTAATTGGTAGCCTAAAAAATTTCTCACCTTTTTACAGTTCAATACAGCTAGTTGAACAAATCTGAGAAAAACATTGATGAGAAAGGAAAAAAAAAGAAAAAACATGAAAAAACATATTTAAGACTCACAGATTGATGGGGAAAAAAAATAGTCAAAAATTTGTGACAAAATCTCTGCACTCCTTTTCGAACAGCTCGACTATCAGAAAAAAACCAGAAATAAATTATAAAGACATCTTTTAGTGATTCTTATAATAGTAACAACGGTTTAAGTAAGTGGACTAGATTTAGCAAAGAAATAAAAACTTTTTTCAACAATCCGTTATTCTCAGCAAAATCACTATTTTTTACAATTCCAAAACAAATAAAAAAAAATAAAAAGTAAACAAAAAACAAATTATGACCTGAAACTCGAATGGCAAAAGATAGCAATAATAATAAAATGAAAAAGAAAAAAGAATATAGAAATAAGCAAATAAAGCATCAAATTGTTTCAACACATAAAATATACAATATTTTAGCTTGCAAAACAAAAATGAACAATGATGAATTGTTTTTAGACTAACAACAATGATAGTAAAATAGTGATAACAACAATGATTATTCGCCAATCTTTTGAGAAGTCAGTAACTGTTCACCAATGAATCTTTTTTAATAAACTATTACTAAAATTGTTGCTGTTTCAAAAGTGTAAAACCCAAGAACAAAAAGATAAACTTACAACAAAAAAGTAAAATGGAAAGATAAAAACGACATTCTCTTTTTTTCTTGTTTTCAACGGCAGATATATACAAACAAATCTGCCATC